GGTAGGACAGTCAGCGTCAAACCTGCAGCTCTTCTGTTATCGACATAGTTAACTGTTTTATTACTGACTGTTTTATTAATGATTGTTATATTACTGACCATTTTATTGATGACTGTTTTATTACTGAATGTTTTATTACTGACTGTTTTATTACTGACTGTTTTATTACTGAGAGTTCTGTTACTGACTGTTTTTTACTGACTGTTTTATTTCTGACAGTTTTATTACTGATTGTTATACTACTGACCATTTTATTAATGACTGTTTTATTACTGACTGTTTTATTACTGATTGTTATATTACTGACCATTTTATTGATGACTGTTTTATTACTGAATGTTTTATTACTGACTGTTTTATTACTGATAGTTCTGTTACTGACTGTTTTATTTCTGACTGTTTTATTGCTGACTGTTTTATTACTGACTGTTTTATTACCAATTGTTTTGTTTTCTGACTGTTTTATTACTGACTGTTTTATTGCAGACTGTTTTATTTCTGACTGTTTTATTGCTGCCTGTTTTATTACTGAATGTTTTATTACTGATTGTTATATTACAGACTTTTATTGCAGACTGTTTTATTACTGACTGTTTTATTGCAGACTGTTTTATTGCTGACTGCTTTATTACTGAGTGTTTTATTACTGACTGTTTTATTACCAAGTGTTTTGTTTTCTGACTGTTTTATTACTGACTGTTTTATTGCAGACTGTTTTATTACTGACTGTTTTATTGCAGACTGTTTTATTTCTGACTGTTTTATTGCTGCCTGTTTTATTACTGAATGTTTTATTACTGATTGTTATATTACTGACTGTTTTATTACTGACTGTTTCATTACAGACTTTTATTGCAGACTGTTTTATTACTGACTGTTTTATTGCAGACTGTTTTATTGCTGACTGTTTTATTACTGACTGTTTTATTACTGACTGCTTTATTACTGAGTGTTTTGTTACTGACTGTTTTATTACTGACTGTTTTATTGCAGACTGTTTTATTGCTGACTGTTTTATTACAGACTGTTTTATTACTGACTGTTTTATTACAGACTGTTTTGTTACTGAGTGTTTTATTGCAGACTGTTTTGTTACTGAATGATTTATTGCAGACTGTTTTGTTACTGAATGTTTTATTGCAGACTGTTTTGTTACTGAGTGTTTTATTGCAGACTGTTTTGTTACTGAATGTTTTATTGCAGACTGTTTTATTACTGAGTGTTTTATTGCAGGCTGTTTTGTTACTGGGTGTTTTATTGCAGACTGTTTTATTACTGAATGTTTTATTACAGACTGTTTTTTTTACTGAATGTTTTATTACAGACTGTTTTTTTACTGAGTGTTTTATTGCAGACTGTTTTATTACTGACTCTTTTATTACTGGCTGCTTTATTACTGAGTGTTTTGTTACTGACTGTTTTATTACTGACTGTTTTATTGCAGACTGTTTTATTACAGACTGTTTTGTTACTGAGTGTTTTATTGCAGACTGTTTTGTTACTGAATGATTTATTGCAGACTGTTTTGTTACTGAATGTTTTATTGCAGACTGTTTTGTTACTGAGTGTTTTATTGCAGACTGTTTTGTTACTGAATGTTTTATTGCAGACTGTTTTATTACTGAGTGTTTTATTGCAGGCTGTTTTGTTACTGAGTGTTTTATTACAGACTGTTTTATTACTGAATGTTTTATTACAGACTGTTTTGTTACTGAATGTTTTATTGCAGACTGTTTTGTTTCTGAGTGTTTTATTGCAGACTGTTTTGTTACTGAATGTTTTATTGCAGACTGTTTTGTTACTGAGTGTTTTATTGCAGACTGTTTTGTTACTGAATGTTTTATTACAGACTGTTTTGTTACTGAGTGTTTTATTACTGACTGTTTTATTACTGAATGTTTTATTCCAGACTGTTTTGTTACTGAGTGTTTTATTACTGACTGTTTTGTTACTGAGTGTTTTATTACTGACTGTTTTGTTACTGACTGTGTTTCAGACCAGTTCTTCATGGTCCACTGTAAAAACTCAGTTCCTGTCATCTTGGCTGTAGTTCTGTGTTTCATCCTGATTGTTGCTGTTGTTGTTTTTATCTGGAGATGGAGACAAAGAAAAGTCTGTGAGTTTAATCTTTATATTTATTTCAAGAAATTATCTGTTTTGTTTTAATGCACTGACATAAAACTAAACTTCTCCAACTTCCTGTTTCTGCAGCAACGGATAAACAAGCAGAGAATAAAAATGAAGAGCAAGGACACCTGATGGGTGAAGAAAGGTCTAAACGTGAGGAGGAGTTACTGAGGATTAAGATTAAAGATGAGGAATATTTGAAACACAACTTTGATGTTTTCATGAAGATAAAAGAAGAACTGGAGGAGCTGAAAAAACAACTCATTGTCCTCAAAGAGGAGGAAGAGAAAGAGTTTGAAGAGAATGATAAGATGTTTAAGGAAGTCGAGTTTAAAATTAAAACCTCAAAGAAGGGAGATGTTCGCATTAATGCAGAAGATTATGAAAAACTGAAAGAGTTCATGAAGCAGCACAACAACAAACTTGAAGAGAGAAAGACAAAACATGAAAAGCTGGAACTGAACTCAGATCAGTTAATTAACAAAGTGAGAGGAGAAGTTGAAATGATGGAGGAAAAGAAACCAGAGCAGAGAAAAATAAAAGAAACTGATGAACAATTAAAAAAGAGTGAAACAGAAGAAAACATTTAACTGAACATGACAGAAATAATCTGTTCTTTAAAATAATCTGTTCTTTAAAATAATCTGTTCTTTAAATAATCTGTTCTTTAAATAATATGTTCTTTAAATAA